CCCGCAGGTCAGCTCTGTGGGAAGGAACAAGAGCACTGCGGTCCTCCTGGTTTCGGTTTCTCTTCAGAGACCATGGGCTAGCCTCAGGGCCTGGTGAGGATGAGCATGTGAATTCTGAGCAGGCTTCTCTAAGTACCCCTCGGCTCACTGCCCTTCAGTGGCCTTTGGCAGTCTCTGGTAAGGCTGCAGGGACTGGGAGCCATGGAGTGGGATGGATCACAACCTGCAGAGAGGCATTCTCTGAAGGAACAAGCTTGGTCCTCCCCCTGGAGCTCTTGGACACTCACCCATCAGGGGACCCTGCGGCCTGGTGATTACTGCTCAGCGCCTCCTCCAGAAGTTGCAGGCAGTGCTCACGGGCCTATGAGGAGAGTGAGGTCTTGGTCACCCACCCTCAGGGTCAGGGAGGGGCCCTGAGAGAAAGTGAAGAGGCGTCCTTCTCGTACCTTCACTGTGAGCTTAGGGATCTTCCTGCTTGAAGCCTCTCTCAGGGGACAGTCTTCATCTGAGGAAAGGGCAGAAAGGGCTTTCCACTTGACCAGCTCTCTGGAGCCCCCCAACCCTCACTGAGCAACCCACTGTTCACAACCAGACACAGCACCCAAGCCCTTGGGGGCATTTCTGTACCAACCTGGGGGTGTGAATTCTTCTATCTTGGGCTCTTTGCCCTGGAAGACAGACAGCATGAGGGACCATGAGACATCCTGCCCTGCTGCAGGGCAGCTCCTACTGAGGTGGCGAACAGGGGACCATCCAGGGCTTTGCATGGACCACTGTGTGCTGGTTATTTTTTAGGGGGTAGGAAGGATACTTTGGAGACAGGGTTCACTATGTCGTCCCTGGTCTTGTCTCAGATCCACCTGCCTCTTCCTCCCAAGTGCTAGGATCAAAGCCATGAGCCACTATGCTGGCTTAGGTTTTTTGTTTTTTTTTTTTGTTGTTGTTGTTGTTTACTTGACAGAAACTAGAGTCATCTGGAAGAGGGAACCTCAATTGAGGAAAGGCCTCTAGCAGACTGGTCTGGGGAGGCATTTTCTTACTTGATGTGGGACAGCCCAGATTACTATAGGTTTCGCTATTCCCGGGCCAGTGGTCCTGGGCTGTACAAGCTAAACAAGAGAGTGGCAACTCCTCCACAGTCCTGCTTCCGTTCTACCTCCAGGATCCTGACCTGAGCTCCTGCCCTGACTTCCCCTGATGCTGGACGGTGATGCGGAAAGTGTCAGCCAAATAAACCCCTTGCTTCCCAACTTGGGTTTGGTCACAGCACTGGAAACTAACAGAGCCACTGAGCCCTGTCACGGTCTCTACCACCTTTACCTTGCGCAGGCTCATCTGCTTCTGATAGAAAAGATTCCATTGCCGCTTGTGGGCCTCATCTCTGCCCTCATCACCGCTCCCTCCAGAACCTTCATCATACCTAGAGGACAGGCAAGGTGTGAGCAGAAAGGGTCGGGGCTCTGCTCTTCCCCGATCTTCTGGCATAGCATTAAAGCCTAGGCCCCAGGAAGAGTACCACACCACGCTGCAGAAGGCGACCTTGGTCTGGCTAGGGCCAGCGGATGTATTTCGCTGTCCTCACCTGCTGAAGCCCCCGTAGCCTCTGCGGCCTCCCTCATACAGCTCAGGGTCGAAGTCGTCCTCCTGGAAGGGCCTGATGCAGGTCTTGCTCCAGCTGCTGATGCGCTCCAGGGCATCAAGCTTCTCCCTTACAGCCGCAGGACTCTGGCAGTGGTCACAGCCTTTGACGCAGGCAGGAGGTGCATCCCCGAAGTACTTAGCAATGGCAGCATGGCGGCACCTACAGTGAGCAGTGCTTGGGTTGGGGGCTGAAGCAAGCAATGATGTCCGCCCAGTCTCCAAACTCTGATTCACTATCTAGCACCACTCTTGATGCTTCCTACCTTTCAAAGCCCTTCCTAGATTTGCTCTATGTGTATCAGTGACCCCTAGTGCCTGAGGTCAGGACTTGTTCCAGATGGGTTGTGAGCCTGCAGGGCAGGGGGTGCTGAGAACTGAACCAGGGTCCTCTGTAAATACAGTATATGCTCTTAACCTCTGAGCCATCTCTCCAGTCCCTGTTCTGTACCCTTTTATTTACAGGGGCTCGTGGAGCATCACCTGGGGCTGCCCAGTGCAGAGTTGGGCCAGTGAGATAAAGCAGCCTTCCTATAGTCATGCACTGGGTGACTGGGGGTCGGGATGTGAACCTCATTCTGTTCTGTGAGCTCTGGGACCCTGCTCTTCCCTCTCCCCGCAGTGCTGGAATGCCCTGGTGAGCTGAGGCTCTGGCACAGATACTGGCTCTGTCACCAAGACTATGTCAGTGAGAAAACATTTCACCCTTGAATCCCAGGACCTCTCCACTTACGCTGCTGGGGTACAGTGGCACAGCGGAGCATGCTCTACAGGGATAGTCCTCACTGTGGGGAAGGAGGGAAGGACAGGAAAGGGCCATCCCATCCAAGTGCTCTGTCTGCTTGGCTCTTTTTCTTCCGTTTAGAGGCAGGGTCTCACTATGTAGCCAAGACTTGCCCAGGACTCACTATGTAGACTGGGCGGCTCCAAACTCACAGAGATCTGTCTGCCTCTGCCTCCCAAGTGCTAGGATTAAAGGTGTTTGCAACCACACTGGTGCTTTTCTGTTGTTGTTGTTTCTTAAGCTGGGGTCTCACTATAGCTCAGAGTGGCCTTGAACACACGCTTCAGATTCCCCAGTCCTGGGGTCGCAGGAGTGAGCACATCTTGATCTTTCCTTAGAGATCTCTAGCTCCCCCTGGCCTCCTACCATGAGCCCTTTTGCTCCAGGCCAAGGGCTGCCCCTGGCACGGCTCCCAGAGCGGCAGTTCTCAACCCATGGGTCGCAATCCCTTTGGGGCTTCAGTGATCTTTTCAGAGGGGTCACCTAAGACCATCAGAAACAGATATTTACATTTTGATTCATGAAAGTAGCAACATTGCTGTTATGAAGCAGCAATGAAAATAATTTTATGGTTGGGGTCACCACAAGTATTAAAGGGTCTCAGTGTTCAGAAGGTTGAGAACCACTGTCCTAGAGACAGCAGTTCTGAGAGCGGCTATCATGCCTAGTCACTGTTGAACCCAGCCAGTCAGGGAGACACAGCCTCACTAGAGCGTCCCCTCTCACCTACTCCCAGATGTTCCCCTTGGGATAACCATTCTGCCTGGCCAAGAAGTTCGGTCTGTTTTCTGACCCCAGGCTGAGGCCCTGGGAGTGGCCGGCCACTGTTCTAGGGTCCTTACCAGACAGTCTACTGCTAGGGGTGTGGTACGAGGTTGAGGAAGCAGACAGAAAGACACCATAGGCAGGGCTGTCTGAGTGCCCAGTCTAAAGACAAGAAGAACTGGCAAAAATTGTCTCTAACAGCCGGGCGGTGGTGGCACACGCCTTTAATCCCAGAACTCGGGGAGGCAGAGGCAGGCGGATCTCTGTGAGTTCGAGACCAGCCTGGTCTACAAGAGCTAGTTCCAGGACAGGCTCCAAAACCACAGAGAAACCCTGTCTCGAAAAACAAAAACAAAAACAAAAAAAAAATTGTCTCTAACAGAGTTCATCTTAGTTTGAGTACTGTCTGGGGATCTGACCCCAGAGAGCAAGCCCCTAAAGAAGCAGGGTCCCTTGGGGGCTGGAGAGATGGCTCAGAAGTTAAGACTGCTTTTCCAGAGATTTTGAGTTCAATTCCCAGCAACCACAAGGTGCCTGACAACCATCTGTAATGAGGTCTGGTGTTCTCTTCTGGACTGCAGGCATACATGCAGACAGTACACTGTACACATAATAAATAAATCTTTTTTTTTTTATTTTTTTTCGAGACAGGGTTTCTCTGTAGCTTTTTGGTTCCTGTCCTGGAACTAGCTCTTCTAGACCAGGCTGGCCTCAAACTCACAGAGATCCGCCTGCCTCTGCCTCCCGAGTGCTGGGATTAAAGGCGTGCCACCACCGCCCGACTCAATAAATAAATCTTTAAAAAAAATAAAAATAAGAAAGAAGCAGCAGGGTCCCTGAAGCCAAGTGACAAAAGCAGCAGGAAGGAGCCAGCAGAGGAAGCCACTGGGTGCTCCTGCAGCTCCACTAACACTGAACATATGGCAACCGTTCCTTCCCTCTGCTCAAGACTGTTGCTGTACAGAGGTGGCCTGTCCTGTCTCTGGTGCTGTGGCCATACGGTTGCTGACACCCTGCCCCCCAGCTCTGACTCACTGGGGTTCTGTGCTCAGATTCAAAGGCCTCCATTGACTGCAGGGCTGAGGTCAGTTTCTCCCCTGCAGCCTGGTCTGCTGGGTGCACAACAGTCAATCGTTAATGTGTGGAGCCAGCTAGGCAGAATGAGACCACTGTCCCACTGTCCTTTCTGTTAGGCCTTTCATCAAAACAAGCCTCTCCTCAAAACAAGCAGGCTACTTTTAAGGTATTTAGGATCCTCTGGGTACTGAGCAGCAGAAGTGCCCCACCAGAGGGCGAGTGCAAAGCTCGCTGGCTTGCTTGGGTGGCCCCATAGCTACTGTTTTTCTTCCTGGGAGAGGCCAGAGGGAGCAGCTAGGGAGTGGCCCAAGAGACAGACTGGGGTGGTCAGGAACACAAGCCAAAAAGGTCATCCAGAGGGTGGTGGGGTGCTCAAGAGAGAGGTACTCCCTTCTCTTCCCCCAGCAACCTCAGACTGAGCCCCCTGGGGTTATTTCCACAGGGAACCACAGCCAACCACTCATTAGCCCAGCCCTCGGGCGGGGCAGGACAGAGCAGGGGAGGAGTAAGTGAGGGAGCCGTTTTGGGGATCCTGAGAGTAGAGTGGACCTCCTGGGCAGGGAAGGGCTCCTCTGGCTCCGCCTCACAATGGTAATATGACACCTAGATCTCCAGGGCAACCAACAACAAAAAAGCCGAAGCTGGACAGCAGCTGGCTGTCAGCAGCCAAGAGCTCCTCTAAGAGGTGTCTGAGTGAGAAGCCGCAGGCAGGAAAGCGCAGCGCTGGTGAAGCCGGCAAAGGTGGCGGCAAAGGACTGAGAGGAAGCACATAACGGCTCTCTTCTTGGGTACCTCTTCTTGGCTCCCCAATATCTGAGCTCCCAGGTAAGTGACACAGGCCAGAGGTAACAGGGTGCAGAAGAGGAGGGAATGGGCAGTCAGCGTCTCGTATCTCCCACAACTTACCATGAGCTCAGAGAGGAACATTTGGGGGGAATACATTGGGCCACTGTCCTACCGGGAACTAAGTCACCTCCTGTATACACACCTGAGGTTTTTCTTCCTTTGAGTCAGAGCACTAGCGGAGGGGGTGTCCTGCCACTTACTGTGTATAGCAGGGAGCTGGGGGGCTGCTGACTTGATACATCTTTTCTATTCAGTGAGCTTAAAATAGAGCCTCATACCCACTGAGCCTCCATCTGCCCAAGGACTGAGCTCTCCCTGTTCCTCAAGGCTCAGGACAAGATTGCCTAGCCGGCTCAAAGACCCCAGCCCCAGGACCGAGACGAACCTGGAGCAGAACTGCCTACTTGGGGTCCAGATGAGAGCAGCAGCCTCCTCATCTTCTGTGGCTCTGACCTGCTCATTGCTACATTTCCGGCTCAGGATTAGCCCAGGGAGGAGTCTCCGTACCCACTTAGGCTCCGGGGATCCCCTGGGTCCTCCTTTGGCCATGATCTCTGAAAACCGAATATGAGACATGCATGCCTGATTCTAAACCCATGGCTGAGGGGAGATGGTGACTACACAGATGAGGCTGGGGATGACCCCAGGATTCTACTCCATGCCACACCACTGGAATGGCGACCCTGGGACGTTCTTTGGACAGCACAAGCACAGCCTTCCTGGGCAGGGAAGCTGCTCACCCCTCCTGCCTTCTGTCCTCACACCAGGGTTCAAGTCCCTCAGAGATGTTCCTTCCAAAGCAAACAAGCTGTTATCCAGTAGGAAAGAAAGAGGTTTGGAAGGCAAGGAGAAGGCCCAGTTTCTAGGCTCAGCAGAGGGAATGGGCTTTGGCCTGTGCAGGGCTGAGAACCTAACTCCCATGGGACTAGTGAGAAGTGGAGCATGGAGGGGACTAAAGTCACAATGGAGACAGCACATCAGGAAAGGTGAAGGGGGCATGGCAGTGAGCTGTTAGACACTGGACCCCAGAGGCAGGAGGGTGACCGGCACCCACAAAACCCTAGCTTCTGTAGTCCCTGAGTCAAAAGGGAAGCCCAGAATGCAGATTGAGGAGCTCGCTTAATTTCCACCAGAGCTCTCCTCGTTTTACCGGCCGCCAGAGCTCCCCCTGTTCTACCGGCCACCAGAGCTCCCTATTCTGGGAAGCTCGGGGGCCAGGGCAGCAGGACCACCCATTTCTGATTTCAAACTGAAGCCCCACAGAGATGGAGTCACTCAGACACTCGGCATGGCACACGGTGGACACCTGCTGGTCAGGCCGCTGGAACCCTCAGATCTCTCTCGCACATCTACCGGTTATACCTCATTCAAGATGCTTCTCAAACACGACGATATGCTGCAGGACCCACCATGACAAAACAACAGTGTACAAGATGCCCTTTGGGGCTGCGAGCCATCAGTGACAAATGACCCTGCTTATCAGGCAGAGACACACTGCCGGCCCTGTGCACATGGCAGCTGGGGCTAACTATCAGGTTTACAATGAGGAAGTGGAGACACTGCAGGACCAACCAAGCTGCAGTTGTCTGGCCTACAGGACAGTCGCTTACTCTACAGCAAGAACCTCAAAGCCACCTGTCATACAAGGAATGCTAGTCAGTCCCCCAGCCCGGCCAGTTTCCTTCTGCTGTGCTAGCTCTCCCTGACCATTGCCTGTAACCCAGCTGGGAGCATCCTCCAAAGATTCCAAGTGCTATCAGGCAGCCTGGGCAGCAGGTGGACCCAGGGGCAGTCAGGGCTGTTCTCCACAGGAAGCTACCACTTCCTCTACTGAAGATGGCATTAAGAGACTCTCTCTAGTCCCCATGTTCTTTTTTTCTTTCTGGTGCCGTGACTAGGATTAGTCCCCATGTTCTTGATTGAAACATATGGTTGAGAAAGAAGTGGGTAAACCTGGGATAGAAAGTCCAGGAAACACATAATTACCAGTAGCTCTGCTCTGTTAACTTAGGGGGTTATCCAGTCAACAGGGCCAGCCCCAGGGCTCCCACTCCCCCTGACCACAGCTGGGGAACAAGGTTACCTAATAACCATTGGTTATATTGGGCACCAGGCATCTGTTGGCCCTGCTTTAAATAGCCCACTGGGAAGATGCCTGGGGAGCTGCCGGAATGCGTCTCTTTCCTCTTTGGAGAACAAGACCCCTTTGCCCCCCTTCCCCCGTCATGTGCTTGTTCTGTTGGTCAGAGCTTAAAATAACAAAATTATCAACTGCCAAGCAAGGAGTTCCTCTTCGGCCCTTTGAGGGCAGAGAGCCATACCTAGCAGCCCCACTTCTGCTGGTAAAAGGCAAGACCTGGCAGGCAGCCCCCATGGCATGGTGGACAGGTCCCACCTAGTTTCCAGTAGGCTGCCTATGGAAGGCCTAGGCACAGCTACGTGGCTGTCCACACGAGGTGTTCTAGCAGAGTAGAGCTCAGCTGTAGCAGGCAGGAGTCTGCAGTTCTCCAACTTTGCAAGCCAAGCAGAGTGCAGGGAAGAGTGAGAGAAGGACAGAGAAGCTGGGAGTAACTCTGCTAGATGGAACTTTAGACCAACAAATTCTGACCTCCCTGCACAGCAGGTCCAACCCTGAGCCACTGGAAACTGGACATTGAGACCTTCCAGCTAGACCTAGGGTCCCAACTCTGCCAACCCTGCCAAGCAGGTGCCTCATCCTCCCTAATCCCTGAGTCTCTCTCTAGGTCTTTGGGTGTGGTACACAGAAAGTTCTCCTGACCACCAACCTCCTGCCCGCTTCTGCTTTTAAGGAGTGTCTCCATTGGGCTCGTGAGGCAATGTGGGCACAGTGCCAGCCAGGCTGAACAAGCCAGCCCAAACACAGATGAAGAGGGAGGGTGAGAGGCAGCAGCCCGGATTCTGAACCATATGCATACCACTTCTGTGGGGTGGGAATGCTGCAGAGGTCCCGGACAGGAGAGTGGATGGATCACTTTTGCAAGCACGCCCTAGCTGCAGCGCCTTTGGCCTGACCAGAAGGAATGTTCTTATGTTCACATCAGCAGGACACACAGATCTACTCATTTAGTGACAGATAACAGTGCAGTTCTCAAAAAGTCTGGAGTGCCCCACTGTGGTGGTGAGGAACTGATAAAATTGATGCCCCCGGCTCGTAAGAGGTGGTATTCAGTGTGCACAGCTCACGGGTTTCTAAAGAGCTATGGTCCGTGACTCGGGCTCAGCTGAAATGGGCCTCCATAAACAGTGCATGGGTAGTAAGTAGGTGGTGCATGGGATGGGTCCATCCTTGACTTCCCTGGCCCAGTCAGTCCCCACCCAGAGAAAGTTCCCGCAGCCAGGCCCCTCCCAAAGGCCTCTCAACTCAACAACACAGAGATAAAGAGCCTGTCCATCGCACAAGAGGGAGAGGGGTAAATAGCAAGGTGGTGACAGATGCCTTTAATCCCATCTTGGGAGGTGGAGGCAGGAGGATCTCTGAGTTTGAGGCCAGCCTGGTCTACAGAGCGAGTTCCAGAACAGCTAGGGCTGCTACACAAAGAAACCTTGTCTCGAAAAGCAAGCAAATAAAAAACCATTTCTATAAAGGGCGTATGAGGTTAGAGAAGGCACCACAGGCTGGGGATGCAGCTCTGTGGTACAGGACTTGCCCTGGAGCCCATTCCCCAGGAGCACAAAAATGACAAAACGTGAACAAACTCAGAGAAGGCACCGCGTGCTTCACAGAGAGGAAATCCAGCGGCTGGCAGCTCTGATCTAGGTCCTGAAGAACTGTTAGGGGAAGAAGGGCAGCCAGCCAGGGCTTGGCCTCCTACGATGGGCAGCCGAGGGCAGCCAGAGCCTCTCATTCTCAGAGACTCAGGCAGAGACTGCGCAGCACAAGGGCAGAGAGCCTGCATGTAGGATGACCCTGTCCCATGACCTTCATGGGAGTTTAGGCCTGCTGTGTGCAGGCAGGAATGCTGGAAGTGACCAGTCTCACAGACCACAGCAGAGGGGACCTGCCTGGTTGAGACCAGGGCCAACATGGCAATCAACAAAGACACAAGCGCCTGGTCCCCTACCCCCATCCCTCAGGAAGAACCAGTTTGGATGCTTTGGCACAAGGCTGTCCCGGTTCCTTCTCTCTCACAAGAGCTGAAGCTCAAAGGCTCCACCAAGGAACTCAGTCGAGAGCTTTGTCCAGGCCCTCTCTGGAAGCCGTGGCCAGCCTGACTCCAGTCAGGCCTTCTCCGGTTAGAACAGGCCCAGCACTCCAGGAAGGGAAGAGCTGGCTGACCTAGTCCTAGAACTCCTGCTCCCATCTGAATGATAGCCCCTTCTTAAGAGTAAAGAAAGTGGCTTGGTAGCAGAGGAGAGTCCTCAGGGACTCAGCATCATATCCTTCAAGGGACAACCCCTCCCTCAGTTTTTGCCTATAGCTGATCCTGCTACAGTCCCCATAAACCTGTTCCTGGAGTCTGATTCCCCTCCCACACAGAATCCTGAGGCCTGTCTTGTCACCCTAAGGCCATCTTGGGGAGGTACCAAAATGCTGAGTGACCCAGAGGCTGGCTGGGGAGCTGTGTCAGCTGGGGCACCCCAGTCAAACCTGCTATTTGTGTCTCAAGACAAAGGAATGCAAGAGCCGAGCCCCATATGAATGGGCAGGTGAACCGTCATCAGCTGCGGCCATCTGGTGGCCTCTCAAAGGCTCTCTGGGTTACATCTGTCACAGGCTGCACTGGTCCTGGGCAGCTCCCACCAAGTGTGGGCTGAGGGCTACCCTACCATTGAGCAGAGTTCCCTGACTGCCTGTCTCCCTCTGCCTGGGATCCACCAGAGGTATAGGGCTGAGACTGACAAACCTGTTCTGCAGGCTATGGTGGGAGAGGCTGCTTCCCTGGAGCTACCTCCCAGCTCGTGAGCAGTTCCACAGGGACTCTAGGGTGCTCTGTCTGTGTTGTTACAGAACACAGGAGCCCTAGCAACATGGCAGCCACAGACTTTAAAGAGGAGATTCGCTCTGTGGGTGAGAGGCTGCTGCTGAAGCTGCAAGGACTGCCCCAGGCTGATCCCGTGGAGCTGGTGGCCTTCTCTATCATCCTTCTTTTCACAGGCAAGTGGGGCACCTGGCCTCTGGCCCTTTAGCCCATCCCCTCAGTGTCCTATGGGCTCTTTCTGATAATCGGGAGACCACACCATGGTGCTGGCTGGAAGGTTGGGAAGTAGGGAAAGCGGTGTCCCAGGGAAAGCTAAGGTAGTTGCCAGGCAGTGCTGGATACCACCGGGTATCAACCACGAACCGAAAGGAGTCAGGCTTGGGCCGTGGAGCAAGAGACAGGGCCCTGTCAGCCACTCTGGTCTTTGTGACCACTGCTCCAGACTGGGGGGCGGGGCAGGTCCTCTGGAAGGAGGGTGGGCATCCCTTCCTCCCCTAGCTCTTCAGCCCTGGACCATCCTCTCCCTTTAGCTACGGTCCTGCTGCTGATGCTGCTGGCCTGCAGCTGCTGCTGTGTGCGCTGCTGCTGCCCCGACAGGAGACGCACGAAGATCCTCGTGCAACCCGTAAAACCCAGATGAGGGACAGCAGTGTGATGACCCAGGAGAAGCTGGACAGAAGCCTTCCCAAACTGTGACACAGACTATCATCCTGGCCACTTCTGGCACTGTCCAGGTGACAGACAGGGTAGACATATGGAGACTTCTCAAGGAAACAAGTGTTGCGCAACCTGCCGATGGACACCAGCACTTAGAGGAGTCAACTGTTTCGAAAGCCCAGGAAAACGCTGAGGACTTCTGCTGTACTTTTGAGGAGCCCCATATCTTGAACAGCTCATGGCTGTGGGGAGGCTGGCCCTTGGATTCTGCTGATTTATGCCAAAGAGAAGTAAACTGATCAGGGACTTTGTGCAATTTACTAAACTCAAGCCTCCGTCTGAAGGGGAGGGAACAGGTCAGTATTCTAGCTGAAATTTGCTTACTTCCAAGTAAAGCTTTTTTGGTTCCGTGTTTACGAGGTGTTTGGCTATGTATATTTATGCGCAGGTGGCTCTGCATCAGGACAGCATCAGAGCTCTAGGGGCACGGCCAATGACTGACTTTCTTTCCAGGCTACTGCCCTTGGTGTGCCCACGAAGGCTGGGAAATCACACAGGAAGGAAGGCCACAGAGACATCAATGCCACATGCGGGACCAGTGCAGGGCCACTGGCAACATTGCTTTCTAACAGGGCTGCTTCCAGAGTCCCACTCTGTTGAGTGATGGAGGCCGATGCCCTAGGACAGGAGCCGAGCCCAGGAATGCCACAAATATTTCCTGCTGTCTGTGTCCCCCTCACTAGCACCTCCAGACCACTGGGTCCTCCCACATCTCTTCAGGCTGTTGTACTCCGGCCCTGTCCCTATCTGAGCGCTCACAACCCAGCTGACAATCCCCTCAAGCTAGGCTTCCTTCTGGTGAGATGGACTAACCCTGGCACCTGCTTCCCGTGGTATGCTAGGAGTGTAAAGCAGACAGCCCAAGACTAGCCCAGTGCTAGACATGCTTCAGAAGCTCCCCAATTACCAACTGCCATTATTCGCCCCTCTGAACGGGCTAGCCCAGAGCACAGTGGACCCACGTTAAAGAAGGGTGCTGCTGAAATGCCGCCATGCTGCCCTCCCTGCAAACCAAAACACGAAACGTGCGGAGGGGCAGACACGTAAGTCTCCATACATGGAACAGGGCCAGGACTGGCTCCAATTGCTCCCACTTCTGTCACCTAAGTCTGCGCAGCACACATTCTGCTTGCTGGGGAGCAGAGTTCAGCCTGCCTTGAAAACAGGTCACAGTAAGGGAAGTCAGCCCCTGCCACCTCCAGCTGGCAGCCTAGGCCATACAGGCAGGAAGGCTGACAGGAATTCTTGCTAGCTGGTTTGACTACCTGGTAGCCACAGACTTGCCTGACAGGTTTGGGTTATTGAAACCAAGAAAGGAGGTGTTTCCAAACAAAGAAAAAGAAATCTAAGAAACCACCTGTCCTCGGCCCCTAAAATTGGAATTCAGAGTCAAACACGTCTTTAATCCCAGCATTCTGAGAGGCAGAAGCAGGTGGACCTCTGTGAGTTCCAGGTCGGCCAGGGCTACTTAAGACCCCTTCTTGGATGGAGCTGGAGAGATGGCTCATTGGTTAAGAGCACCTGGGTTCAGTTCTCAGCATCTACTTGGCAGCTTACTGTCTGTTACTCCAGGTACAGGAAATCTGACACCCTCACACAGAAATACATGCAGGCAAAGCACCAATCACTGCTTGTTAAAAACAACAACAACAAATGAACAACAACAAAAAATTTTTATCAAAAACAAAACATACCAAACCAACAAGAAAACCTGAATGATGCTAATAAAGACAGTTAAAATCCAGAGGATTAGGCCATGCTGTGTTGCCTTTAAAAGAATTTTAATGGGGGGGCTGGAGAGATGGCTCAGAGGTTAAGAGCATTGCCTGCTCTTCCAAAGGTCCTGAGTTCAATTCCCAGCAACCACATGGTGGCTCACAGCCATCTGTAATGGGACCCCCTCTTCTGGCCAGCAGGTATACACACAGACAGAATATTGTATACATAATAAATAAACATTTAAAAAAAAAAGAATTTTAATGGGGGACGCTGGAAAGATGATGGCTCAGTGTTTAAGAGCACTGGCTGGTCTTCCAGAGGTCCTGAGTTCAATTCCCAGCAACCACGTGGTGGCTCACAACCATCTGTAATGAGATCTGGTGCCCTCTTCTGGCCTGCAGGCATACGTGCAGACAGAACACTGTGTACATAATAAACACATAAATCTTATAAACAATGTAATAGTGCTGGGAATGAAGCCCAGAAGACTGCACTAGGCAAGTGCTCTGTCCCAGAAGCACAACCCAGACCTAGAAGTTGTCTTAAGCTAGGTTCCAATTCACCGCGCCCCTGCCTTAGCCTCTTAAGTGTGAGGATTACATGTAATGTGCCTCACTTGCTTGGGTTTTTTTTTTTTTTTTTTTAAATCTTCTCTTTTTTAAAACAATCTCACTAAGTGGCTCTGGCCGGAAGTCAGTATGCACTTAGCTCGGGGCTGTCCTCTGCCTCTGGAGTGCTGGGATTGCAGGCATGGCCCACCATACCCCACTTTTGTCCTGAGCATTCTGTTGCAGATAAATTCACTTAACCGTCATGGTGCTTCAGTCCTTTATTATCCTGGTTGACAGAGGACGGAGATGAGCCTCTGTGCAGCCAGCTAAAATGTGGCAAAGCCAGCTCTGGCTCCAATTCCCTGCTCACACCTAGGGCTTGAGGCCTCTGGGACACAAGGCAGAGGTGTTGACCCATTATCTCCATTAGCCAACCCCACATCCACGCACCCACACCCAGACTCTGTCTCAAGATTGCTTCTGTGGAGCGGGTGGAAAGCCCACACCCAGCTATCTGAGGAGAAGCCGGGGTAGTGGAAGGAGTGGAAACCTGCATTTCTCACTCCAGCACCTCACAGGAGGTCCCTCAAAGCCCTCAGTTCAGGAACAGCAGCCCGGTTCCTTCCAGAATCTTCTTTAAGCAGGATTTCATTAGCATCAGGAATAGTCTTCCTGTAGGAAGGCTAAGGTTGAGGACCCTTCTTTGCTAGAAAAGATTCTGGTTCCTAGTCTAGCTGAGGGTACCATGAACAATCCTGGACACCTAGTTCAGCTCCAGAGTAGAAGGTACCAAGGACAACCCTGGACATAGCCTAAGTAGCCAGTTCGCTTGCACCTTCCTACCCCATGCTAGGTCAGTCCATCCTATAAGCTAACCACCTGCAGCCTGGCACATGCTGGGATGGCAGACCTAGGCCACCTTCACTGGGGAGGAAGCAGGCGTGGGAAACAGAAATGGTCACTGCAGATCTGAGCTGTCAGACGGCAGCTGGTGACCACAGCAGCAGCACAGGGTGGACTACTTCAAGCTTAGGGAAGGTCCCACTGATGTAACTGCCCTATGCCAGGCAAGAACAAGCCATCGTGGTGCACGGAGGCTACCGCAGGCCTCACCAGCTTCCTCATGACCCTCCCTCCCACATGGCCTCTGCTCTACCAATGTCTGATCTCAGTCCCTCAGGAGGATGAGGAGCCGCCTGGTTCACTGCCTGAATTTTATGCCTTGTTACAAGCTAAAAATCAAGGTGAGAATCACGTCAGCAACGCTGGCAGAGCACACACAAGTTTTGTGAAATGTGACACAAATGAGTACTACAAATTTCATATCATAAAATATGTGCACAAATTAACTTTGTTCTAAAAATGTTTTCCTCTTCTTTCCACCCTGTTCCATGACAGGGAATGCTGTCCCTAACCCTCTTTTTTTTTTTAAAGATTTGTTTGTGCTGGGCGGTGGTGGCGCACGCCTTTAATCCAGCACTTGGGAGGCAGAGGCAGGGGGATCTTTGTGAGTTCGAGGCCAACCTCTACAAGACCTAGTTCCAGGACAGGCTCAAAAGCTACAGAGAAACCCTATCTCAGGGGGAAAAAAAAGGATTTGTTTGTTTTTATATGTATGTTTGTCTACATGATAGTTTACCACATGCATGCCTCTTATCTGAGGAGCCCAGAAGAGGGCATCAGACTGTCTGGAACTGGGGTTACAGATGGTTTCGAGCCACCATGTGGGGCTGGGAATCGAACCTGGGTCCTCTGGAAAAGTAGCTAGTGCTCAAGTCTTTACAACTCCCGCCATTTCCTCACAGAAACCCTCAGCGCAGACCATTGTGCCTGCAGCACCCTCTCCTCATCTATCTCCCTCACAGTGACTGAGACAACAGATCTACCTACTTGGATACAGCAGTTAATTAACTAAAACCAGACAAAGCAACTTTCTTATGAATGACATTCCCTCTACATAGCTGATGTTTTGAGACAGGGTCTCACTATATATTTCTGGGGGCCTGGTATTCACTATGTAGACCAGGCAGGTCTCGAACTCAAAAGACCCACCTGCCTCTACTCCTCAAGTGCTAGAATTAAAGGTATGTGCCACCATGCCCAGCAGGGGTTTGTTTTTAGTTTTTTGGTTTTTTGAAACAGGGTTTCTCTGTGTAGCCCTGGCTATCCTGGAACTTACTTTGTAGACCCGGCTGGCCTCAAACTTAAAGATCTACCTGTCTCTGCCTCCTGAGAGCTGGGATTAAAGGTGCGTGCCACCACTGCCTGGCTTCTTTTGTATTTTTTAAAGATTTATTTATTATATATGTGTGTGAATGTTTGGTGCCTTCGAAGGCCAGAAAAAGGTGTTGGATCGCCTAAAACTACGATTACAGGCAGTCAGGGTCACCTGACATGAGTGCTGAGCACTGAACCAGGAAGAGCAACAAGCGCTGCCACTTCTGAACTGTCCTCCAGCCTACAGAAGCTGAGGTGGGAACAGACGGGCACACCTCTTGGGTGGGGCTTGGTCTCTGAGGATGGCTGTGAACCAGCTCGGCTCTAGCCTTACCTTGTAGTTCTGGTTTCATTAGAACAAGAGTGTGAACACACCAAGTGTAAAATGTCACTACAGAGGGGACAGCAAGATGGTTCAGTGGGTAAAGTTACTTGCCACCAAACCTGAGGACCTGAATTCAGTTCCCTGGAAGCCACAAGTTAACCTATTTCCAATAAGTTGTCTGCTAAACTCCACAAACATGCCATGGGATACACACACATGCACATACACACAATGTATTAAAATTTTTAATGTTATGAGTCTTAAAAAATATGCCCAAAGTTGTGCTTCTTTTGATGGGAATATGGAATGATATCAAAGTGGCCACATAGGCATTAATAGAGACAACAGCTTTGTCTGCTCTAAGGTATAGGGCCTGAGAGCCGGCTTCAAACTCCAACTGCACAGCCTTGAATAAGTTGCTTAGTCTCTCTGTGTGTCTGTCATCTGTCTGTAAGACTGGAGTTGTGGCAATCATTGTTTCATTTGTTTATACGATGTCACATTCAATTTTGTAGCCACAGGAGCAAGCACAACAGCTACAAACCAGTTTGGGAACAAACAACTGACTCTTGATAAGAACCTGATTTCACTGATAGGCTCATAAAGTACCAGGGTGTGCCAGAGACCAGCCTGCCAGCTGTGTGCATTTGGCAAGCCAGGAAGTCAGCAAGTTTTACACGAGGAAGTGGAAAGCAACAGGTGAGCCGTGGGTCAGTCGAGAATGCTTTCCTGAGTTTGCTCATTGCCTGTCAACCACTCCAGGCTGTATCTGAAGAGACGCCCTGAGAGGATTAGAACACCAGATACCTGGGATTCTAGAAACTGATGTACGTGGGCATTTCTCAAAACTCTACAGACCTGTGGGCTACGACATGAGCCTCGCTGGAGGGAACAGCCTCTCTTATGATGGAATGTCCACACGTCTAAGCTTTAAAGGAGTCAACAGTGGCCATCAAGTTTCAAGCAGGGCATGTATGATCAATCCCTTCCTCCCAGTTTTCTCTCTAACAAGGGGTAGGAGGAACCAGCCACATGAAACAGCTGAGGCCACGCCCAAGGCAGGCACAAGAGAAAAAGACTAAGGGTGGCAAGCACTCCCACCCAGAAATGGCTCTGGGAGGCTCCAGCCAGAGCTGCGGCTAACCATTCTCCCACACCACAGGAAAGAACGCCTTCCCAAGTAAGCTCCAAGAGTCACTGAGACGGAGAACTAACACCTGGTGCACACAGGTGAGGTGGACAGGTGACCTGTAGCACAGACACAATCTATACTCTCATCCTCCCCCAAGTCTGACTTCTCTCAAGGACAACTTACAAAGTGTCCCGAGCATCTCCAAGAGACGCCATCACAAAAGGGCAGAACACTGCTGAGGAACCAAGGGAGGGAGTGGCAGTTGCCAGGCAACCAGTCTAGCCCACCTTTGTTTGCTCTGGTGGCAGCAGCCAAGGTGTGGTCAGAGCCATTTGGAGATGCTCTGGGCTGCCAACAGTCATTTCTTTGAGTTGCTGAATAGCTGTGGTCACCTGGCAGCTGCTTCCACCCAGGAACCCCAGAGTGTAAGGCCCGAAGGACAATCGTGACCTTCCTTTGCCCTTGTAAGACACAGGCTACTAGCAGAAGAACCAGGTAATGGCGTTTCTTTTCCCCCTATACTCTTTTCAGCTGGCTGCAGCCTACTGACACCGTATGCCTAGGCCTCCTGCTTCCAGCAGTCTCCAGATACTGCCTCAATCACCCTCTGTTCTTTCTTATCCACCACCTCCACCACCTCCACCACTACCACCCTTTTTAAAGACTCATGTGTGTGTGTCCTTCCTACGTGTATATACGTCCACACATGCATTCCTGGTACCCTCAGAAGCTAAAAACATTGTTTGGTGCCCTGAAACTGGCATTATGGATGCTATTGTGAGCTGCCACATGGGTGCTGGGAACTGAGAATTTGGGTCCTCTGCAAGAGTGATCAGTGTTCTTAACTTCTGAGCAGACATCTCTCCAGTTCCACTTTTTTTTTTTTTTGGTTTTTCGAGACAGGGTTTCTCTGTGGTTTTGGAGCCTGTCCTGGAACTAGCTCTTGTAGACCAGGCTGGTCTCGAACTCCCAGAGATCCGCCTGCCTCTGCCTCCCGAGTGCTGGGATTAAAGGCGTGCGCCACCACCGCCCGGCTCCACTTTTTTTTTTTAAAGACAGCAGGAATTCAGCCTTCTGAGGAGCTGAGACTTAAGTGCGCCATCAATACCAGTGGGGTTGCTACACCAGTCTCTCAAAATGCCTCCCAAACATCTGGCAAATGGGACAATAAAAATAGGGGGCGATCTACAGAGGTCCATTTTAGGTTCTAGCTAGGAGGCCTCAGTGGTGGGAGAGGCATCCTGGCTCATAACCGAGTTGGTCAGAAATGAACCAAAGATTCCCGAGGCCATCTCCAGAGCTTCCAAGCGGGAGAGCCCTCAGTGTTGGCTAGCCAGATGTATCCAGTTTTTCTGAGCTGTCTGCACTCAGGGCCTCTGTCCCCTCTTCCAGATTTACACGGGCGAAATGGTGATCCCCAAGGACCCACAGAATGACGAATTCTGGAATAACTCGTGGGACATGGGGGGCCTGATAGTGATCGGCCTGTTCATTGCCACATTCCTCTTCTTCATCATATTCGCCATTGTGTTCGGGTGTGTGGAAAGTACTGCGTGTGAGGAGGACTGAAGTGACTTCTGGAGCCTTCAGAGGACAGCAGGGGACAGCCCACACCAGCGGGAGCCCTCCAGTACCTCGGGCTCAGAATCGAACTACTGGGTCTGGCTTTGGGATTGGTCCATTAGCGGGATGGGAAGGCTGGTCTGATACCATTTCCAGCTCGCACACTCTGCTACCAGCTGAACACTGTGAGCGCATGGAGAGGGGCTCTGTTCCACCTCAGAAGACAACAGCAAAGGCTCACAAGGTCTTCTAATAAGTGTCCCTGTCCAGGCGGCAATTTTACAAGTCCTTCACAGAGAAGGACACAAAATATCAGATGAAGTAAAAATTTCTTTTCAAATCCACTAACGTGAGCTCATCTTCTATGCAGACATGGTTCTAGCCCCTCTAGCAAACCACAGTAAGGGCTGCAAGACCTCAGGGGTCTGCCCTGTAGGCAACAGAATCGCTTACAAGCTGCTTGGGCCCCTAGGTTCACAAGGTAACTTCAGTTCCTAAACTCTGTCTTTTGCATGCAATCCCCCTGACTGGGCTACCACGTCACCCTCCGTGGCCTGTATAGCACTTCCTTGTCTTTCACATCTCAGCTCAAACCTGTGTCTCTCAAATGCTCCCTGTCTCTGACCCCAGAGACGGGGACAGATGGGGAACTCTGTTACTCTCAGAACACTTTACAGGGTTAGGGAGCTGGCTCAGCAGTTAAGGGCACCTTAACTATTAAGCAGCTCCTGCAGAGGACAGGGGTTCGATCCCCAGCACCCATGTGGTGGCTCACAATTATCTGTAACTCCAGTTCCAGGAAACCAATGCCCCTCTTCTGGCCTCTGTGGGCACCAGGCACACATGGAGAACACTCATACACAAAATTTTAGAAAAGAAAAACAAAACAAACCCAACATGAACTTTTTTCTTCAAAGCCCATTCATGAGCAATCATATAATTTTAAATATTGTGTTTCCCAATGAGACAAGGCTTGGCAGAAGCAAAGGGCAAAGAAGCACACAGACAGATCCCCTGGATGATGCTGAGCAGCCGAGCTCCATAGTCCAGAGACCCATAAGACAATTCTACCTAGAACAAAGGGAAAGCTCCTCTCAGCTCCAAAATGCCCAGACTTCTATTTCAAGTCCTGCTGGGAGCCGCGCTGCTTTGCGGCTGCAGCTCTGAGAAATGGCTGCATGGCAGAGACAAGATAAAAACCACTGGAGGCCCCGCCCTGGCCACCATATCCCACCCTACACACCCCAACCTTACAACCACTTCCTTTAGCTGCGTACCCACACAGCTGAGCCCACCCCACCGGTCTTACCCCTCACTGCCAGGGGCCTGCCATAAGGGAGGCTGGTGGGAACAGACACCTCAACTTCAGCCTCAAACCAGAACTAATATTAGAAAAGGAACAAACATCTGTTGAAAGGAGCTTTCTCCCTTCATGCCAGATTCTGTTCACACAGCAAGCGGTCTCTTCCTAAAGAGCAGCGGCTGACAGCTCCGCCAGCAAGGTTTACTCCACCTGAGACCTGAGACTAGGAGTCCTGAGATCCAGAACCTCAGGAGCCAACAAGATAGGAGGTGTGAGACCGAACCGTGGGGTTTGGTGGGGTGGGCATGGACCTCTTGGCCCCACAGATAGATGTACACTCCCAACTGGCCTATCAAGGCACGGAGAAGCCTCAGGAGGAAGAAAGGCAGTGGTCCGTGTAGACCTGTTCCACTGCCCGGCAGGTCATAGCTCTGCAGTCCCAGAGGAGCAGAGGAGACTGACAACCAGCGTGGAAACAGCCCGAGGAGGTGAATTTAGCACGCTCATGTACCAGGGGCAGCAAAGGGCTCTGGTGGTATGGCCTTAGCCAACGGTGGGCCTGGCACAGCAACCCGCCACTTTTTTGCATGTGATCCTGCCACAGAGGCTAAATTAGAGACGCCATTTCCAGAAGGAAATACTTCAATCAGTGTCACCAACTCCCCAGTGAGGAGGGAGACTGAGAATCCAAATGTAGAACCCAAATAAGCGCACCACCACCCCCGTTCCCAGGGGAGCCAAACACATCTTGTAGACACTAGTACCACGTACTTAAGTGGCAGCACTCTGCTTCGAGACGACAGTATCGGGGCTAGGAGAGTAGCTTACGGGTAGAGGGCTCGTATAACATGCACAAGTTCTTGGGTTCAATCCTGAACACCACAGAAGCAGCCATCCCTCTTCCCCCAGAGACTAGGACCCATGTAGGAGACAAACACATGCACTGTGATAGTCAAGGAGCCCAAGGACAGTAGCTTCTATCATGAGTTTTGTGACCACGGCCTGTCTGGGGCTTGGCTTACTCAAGTTTGAGGCAATCACTTCCGTCCATCAGAGCTCCAATTTGCACACAGATGAAGGAATGGATTTTTCCAGACTGACTCTTCTTGGGCATCGTTCACATAGGATTCTACTGACTACATGCCTGGTCATGAGTTGCCATTGAGCAGCTAAGTCCCTTTCCGTGGCTGGCCCATAGCTCCCATCCCATTGCCACAATGGCAGGTATCCTGTCAGAAGAGATGACTTATCCAAAGCATGTGACACCCCCCACCGCTACCATTAGCTATGAGTGGGCCCAAAGCTTCTGTCGGGGGCTGCGGCTGCAAGAGAACAGCTCACCAGGTGTGTGACACACGCCTACAATCCAAACACTTGGGAGGAGGAGGCAGTCAGGATAAGCAGGAGTCAGAGGCCAGCCTCTGAAACAGGGCAAGCTAGTGTGAACCCATCTGAAGCAGGTAAAGCAGCAGGAATGACTCACACCCAGTCAGTAGAGCCAGCTCAGCGGCAAGAGCCGGCCACATCACTCATGGCCACCATCCACGAAGTAGGCAGAGGAGTGGATGACAACCCCAGTGTGGAACAAATCCTCACACATGAGAGCTAGAGTTCATGGCCTCCAGAAGTAAAAAGGAAGGGTCCTGACTGTAAATCAAGTCTCTGGTCTCCATCTTTGGAGGTCCCACCCCTGTGCCCCTTGTACCTTGACCTCTCTCCGAGGAGGGTCAAGGTAGCCCACCAAACCTTGACTCCTCCCCAGAAAAGGTCAAGACCACTCCCCCTGTCTATTTAAACTGCTCCCCCCCCCCAAATAAACATGTGGTCGCTTCCCCCACCCCTTGTTGTGGCTGTCCAGTTCCCCTTGGGGCCACCCAAGAGCACAGGAATCCAATTAAACCTGGATCTTTTAATTTGGTCTGATTTGATTTGATTAGGATTTTTATGTCAGCAGAGAACTCCTGTTAGAAAATATTCTTAACACTGACTTCCACATTGCTTGAAATATGAGCTTTGCAAGTAGGGGACGCTCGGTGGCCTAAAGGATGGCTTGCACTAGCTGGTACAGTAATGCTTCGAGGAGCAGGGAGGCAATGCAGGGGTTTGCCCAGGGCCCTGCACCTGCTACACAAATGCTCTACCACTGGGCCGCACCACATCCCCAGCCCCACTCACCCCATTTCTTCACAGAAGGTCACCAGGGCATTGAAGGCCAGCAGGGTGGCTTTATAAGATGCTTTGTTCCCTCTCTTTGCCTGCAGAGAGAAAGCGACCACTTAGTCCTCCAGTCTAAGTTAAGTCCTGAAGGAGAGAACACGAAGGGACAAGAAAGCCACTCCCCCGAGCAGCACCCTAGGCCCCTAGGCCTGACGATGTATCAGCATCTCCACTCACTACTGAGTTGGACTTTTGAGGATGGGAGCTTTTCAGAACTGCCATTTCCAAAAAAACATCACCTTTCCAAAAAAAGTGATTCTCATGCAAAGAGCTCTGGGACTGACATCTGGGAAACTATGATTCTACCCAGTTCTGTTTACAGTAAATACAAGCTCTGAGTACTAACACGTATATATGAGTATATGTGCTAATGTACATACCAGAGGATACAACCTCAACTGTTAGCCCTGGGCAGATAAGAGTGTGCATTATTGGCTCCTTCTATAGCGATTACCAAAAGTTCCTTTAAAACAAAATTATCGAGGGGCTGGAGAGATGGCTCAGCGGTTAAGAGCATTGCCTGCTCTTCCAAAGGTCCTGAGTTCAATTCCCAGCAACCACAAGGTGGCTCACTACCATCTGTAATAAGATCTGGCGCCCTCTTCTGGCCTGCAGACGTACACATAGACAGAATATTGTATACATAATAAATAAATAAATATTAAAAAAAATTATTGAGCAAGGTGGTGGATGCCTTTAATCCCAGCACTCAGGAGGCAGAGAGAGGTGGATCTCTGTGAACTCGAGGCCAGCCTGGACTATAGAGCAAGTTCCAGGACAGGCTCCAAAGCTACAGAGAAACCCTGTCTTGAAAAAAACAAAACAAAAACAAACCAAACTCTTCAATTTAAGGTCAGAGAGTGACTTACGGGGTAGGCACTTGCTAAGCCTGAAGGTCTGAGCTCAGCACCCACACGGTAGGAGGAGAGAACGGACCCCCAAAAGCTGTTCTCTGACCTCTGCACACATTCAGTGGCATGTGCTCACACACAATAAATGTAAGAAAAAAAGTCTCACTTTAGAGGGGCTGGAGAGATGGCTCAGTGGTTAAGAGCACTGGCTGCTCTTACAGAAGGTCTGGGTTCAAATCATGGTGGCTTCTACCATCTGTAACCCAAGTTCTAGGGGATCCATCCCTCTACTGGCCTCCTTGGGCACCAAACACACATGTGGTACATGAACACACATGCAATAAACACTCATGGACATCAAATAAAATTTTTAAAAATTAAATAAAAATATAAGGAAATAGCTATCTGAAGCAATATTGAAATTTTGCATTTAGTTCCTTCATCGCCGAAGACACAGAAAAATGCACACTTTGTGGGGAGAGACAACAAGGGCACTGAGAGCATGAAAATCAGCAGAGTCTATGACTGCATGGGTGAAGAGTGCTAACGAGACTCATTACTTTGTATGCTTGTCTAAAGAGCTCAGAGAGACGGCTCAGCAGCTAAGCACACACTGCTCTTGTAGAAGGCCCACAGTCCAGCTCCCAGCACCCACATGGTGGCTCACAACTATCTGTAACCGAGTTCCGAGGGATCTGATGCCCCCTTTTGGTGTGCAAAAATCCCACTCACTCATGCAGGCAAAACACTCGTGTACATTAAAGCTAAGAGAAGTTTTACTATTTTTTTTAACCAATGTGTAGGAGTGTTGGCCTGTATGTATGTCAGTGCATCACTTGTGTGCCTGGTGCCCACAGAGTCCAGAGGAGCGTCAGGTCCCCTGGAGCTGGAGTTACAAATAGTTGGGAGCTGTCATGTGGGTGCTGGGAATCGAACCAGGGTCCTCTGCAAGAGCAGCCAGGACTCC